GTTTGTGCATCATACGAAAGTTCACTGTTATATTTGAAAGTGAATTTTAAGACATTAACTTTTTCTATGATTTCTCTAGACCACAATATTTTTATTAGTAATCCTTTCCCAGATTCAAATTGTAATCAGGAAGCTCTGTCAGTCAAGAGCAACCTTACTTGATTCAATGCATATTCCAAAACATTTCTCATTGATCATCATGGGTTATAGAAAAAGATCTCCCAAAATTCTAAAATACCTTTAATCAAAATAAAATGTTGCACAAATCCTTCTGGTTTAAATCTATAATTTCTGTTCTTCTTCTGTCAATGTTTATACGTCAGGACCACTTTTCAGATTTTCATACTTTTTAATGATCAGCAATTGTACAGAAGAACTGTTCCCGAGTGACCTAACAGATTATTTTTTTTATCATAAAATGATTACCCTGCGCACAGGAGTCCCAGCTGAAGAGGTTTCTTTTTCCTGTGATACAGGTGTTGGTGTTGCTGTTGGATCAAGTCCATCTTTGTTTCCACTTATGATGTCTATAAGATGGATTGCAGTCCATGCAAAAGGCATGCGATACTTGCCAAGCCTTTCACAGTTTGACACAGCAGTGGATCGCATTTTGTCTTTATGCTTGGATTCAGGAAAAAAAAAAGGGAAATGTCAAAAGAGAAAAATATTTAATTTTAGTTTGAAAATTTATATCATTTGCCTCAAATGCAAGAGAGCAGATACATGAACAAGTCAAGAATGATATAAAACAAACTAAATTAAGTACATTCCTACAGACTCTGGCAAACCCTGCAATCCCCAACCTTAAACATGTGACTCACAGCTGCAGTTTTCATTTCTCTTCATTAAATTGTTTTTCTTTCCTTAACCCTATCTGCATTTTCAAAACCTATAACAAGTAGGTATGGGAGTGGGAGTTTACAATGTAGCGATGGATATTCCACAAGGTAGCTCTGCTTTGCCACTGTTTCCAGGCTGGACCATAAATTTGAGTGGAAATATTTGGTTCATAACTTACAGAACACACTTTGAACTTGGTTAGTTGGAGGCATGCATTACCCAAGGGTACCTTGGGTGTCACCAGTTTTCTAAAACCATGTCAAAGCAAGACCAAGATACTGTAATCCTGAACTAACTTTCAACACAGAACCACAGATTGCTCTTCACTTGCCAGACCTAACCTTGGCATTTTCTGTGTCCTTCATGTATGGTTCTGCACATTCACTGATGTCACCCTGTTGTAGAACTTTTTCAAGCTTAATGACAAGAAACACATCAGTTGAGGGGTAGGTTATAGAAAACACCGCTGAACGACTGAGAGTGGAAATATCTACACGAGGGTTGTGCTGTTCCACTAGTTTCTTGCACCACTCACTATTCATGTCGAAGTAAAAATTCTCAGAAATCTGTCAAAAATAAGCAAAAGGATATATACATGGTTAGAAAACTTGATTTGGTCGTGGATGATCTAGATATAGTGCAAATCAAAAATTACAATAATTATACTTTTCAATAATTTTACTATTAAGGGAAAAGGCCTGTGGAAATGAGGAAGCCAAACCCCAATTAACTCCCAGAAGTGATTCACTTGTAACTTCTCCTTATATTATCCATACATTATTCAGCAATCATGCGAAGAGAATACTCGAACTTATCAGGTAGAAGTTACCTTGATCTACTACCAAACTCACATGACTCATTTATAGGAAAATGTGTAGCAGTTAAAAGGGGAGAATTAACAATCAGACCTCATGAGTTTAAGAGTTAACATTTAGTGGACTTTGGGTTCTGGGTTCAACACTTAGCCCAGTCATTTTGTTGTGCTTCTGAGCAAGACATTTTACTCTCACAGTAATTCCCTCCACCCAGGAACATAACTGGGTACTGGTAAGTACAAAATGAGTACCTGCCACCTGTCAGGAAATGCTGAACAAATCCCTAGGGTAACTTGGGATGGATAGCTGCATCCCATCCAGAGGAGGTAGTCAAACTCCCAGACGTTACATAATACAGAGACAGAGATAAGCTCCATCTGGTTAGGACACTATGTTCAAGTCAAGACTTAACTTAAACCTTTACCACCTAGTATCAGAATGTGCATAATATTCTCTATTGTGTTCTCTGTACATTTCTTAAACAAGGACCCTGACTATAAAAGGGATAGCTCCTCCCCCGTCTTGTAACGCAATCTTTGCTTCCATGGCTAATCGAAGATGGCTGACTAATGGAAGGTGAAGGGGGAAAAAGAGATTTGTACACGAAGACCGATATCCTTGTCTTGTTTCAATTGATTTCCACTTGAAAATGTTTTTATTGACGATTAAAAAGGGACGAATGGAGAAATACTGATCTTCATTTGCAAAACTCAAAAAATTAGGCTATCGCAATTTGAATTTCGCGCTCCTAACGGCTCCTCCTATCGCGAGATGGTCGTACTGGCCCTCTGACTCCCCTCCGTTTGCCTCAACTTCTTGAGCCGTCGATATCATTGACTAGAGGATCTCAGTACTGTGACATGCTCAGAGAGAGTGGTTTTCATGTACATATATGTACATTT